CCCCCCACATCTCCCACCCCCTCTGGGAAGGGAAATTACATTTCCCCATTTTAGCAAGGGGTGGTGAGGAGGGAAGACTGAGTTAAAGCAAAGCTGAAAGTACAAGCAGGACGGAAAGTGAAACCGGGCACAGCCCCCAGTATAAGACTCCCCCGACCCAGGAGATGGCTGACCGAAGAGGCTGGGCCCTGCCATGGGCCAGAAGGCAGGCGACCTTGGCTGGCGTGAGTTTGAGGCCGGGGCTCAGGGCAGAGGGGTGGGAGGCTTAGCTGACGCTGGGCAGAGGATGAGAGAGCCTGACGGGTGGGGGTGGGGGCGCAGGGCTGAGGGGCAACTACGTGGCAGAGGCAGGATACGAGATACATCTGACCAGAGGATGGGAATAGGCCGGCATGAATGGGAAGAGGGGCTGGGCAGACAGGTGGTGGTTTGGCCAGGGCTGGGCAGAGGGTGGGAAGCTTTGATCTACACAAATGGGGGGAGTTGGACAGGCAGGGGGACCAGGACCAGGACCAGGACCTGGCAGAGAAATGAAGAGTTGGGTTGGGGCGAGCAAAGGCCAGACAGCTCGGCTGAGACTGGGGCTGGCTAGAGAAACATCAGGAAGAGTTGGCACGACTCGGGGCTGTGGCGAAGGAGTCAGCAGCCTAACTCGGTCAAAAGTCTGTAGTTTGAAGCCTGAGAGGACGTCTAATCTGCAGTTGGAGACTGAAGGGCTCAGAGGCTGGGACCAGAACAGATGGTAGGGTCAGAGTAGGGACCGAGGACTAAAGGATGCGGACAGAACTTTCAATGGCCAGAGCCAAGGACCCAGGGTTGTCTGCAGAGATCAGGGAGAAGCCAAGGGAAGGGGCTGGGGGCTCCAGAGCTCAGGCAGGAAGAAGAGGGTCAGTAGGAAATGGCACGGCTCAATTCTGGGAGGGCAATATCCACCAGGGCCTGGCACCCACTCTCCCTCCACACAGAGCTGGGAAGAACCCCACTCTGCCCAAGTCAGGGAGCCTAGACATTAGAGTGCCAGGCACTGCCTGCCCTCCCTGGGAGTCCATGGGGGAAGTGGACCTACCCAGAAACTTTCCATGGTCTTCACTGAGAGGGTATTTTGAGGAGCAGCGCCCAGGACTTACAGATCAAGAACAGACAGGGCAGAGGCAGGGAGCGGAGGGTGAGCAGGAACAGACTTAGGCTTAGGAGCCTGTTTTGGTTTGTGTTTCAAGAATTGTGTAACTCCAGTGATTAAGAGGTTTCCTCTCCCTGAGGGAGACACCGCTGAGCACTGCCCCCTTCCCAGGGCTCAGGAAACAGGGCAGGAAGCACTTTCAAAAACCGGCTGGTCCACCTCCCCCATTTTACAGACAGGAGCTTGAGGTGCAGAAATAAGAGGTGACTTGCTGCAGGGAAGAGCCCAAATGAGAAACAGGTTCTGCCTCCCGTTCCAGGCCTCCTCCCCCTTCTGGGACCCCCCTGTCCCTCCCTCACGGCCTTAGGAGAGACTGGATCAGTCAGCCCTTCTGACTCCCTGGGATAGAGTCCCCAGCATTGCCAGCTGCCCTGGGGCCTAGTTGGGGCCATCAGAGCCGCCTGGCCAAGCCCGAGGAATCCTTGGCAGAACAGAGTGCCTGCTCCGGGGCAGACGGCTGCCTCCTCTGAGCTCCCTGGGGGAAGCTCACCGGATGTGCATTTGGGTGCATCTGGAATCCAGTCTTGATTCCCTCACCCTCTATGTACCTTGGCAAGTCAGCCTCACTGAGCCTCACTTTCCTCATCTACAAAATGGGAAGCACAATAGCACCGAGGCTGCCACATGGACACCTGGCCAAGGGAGCTAGTGGGGCTGTGTAAGGCTGTGTGCGCCGGGCAAGGGCACTTTCCTTTCAGTCACACGGAGGTGCCTTCCACAGCTTCCATCTCATTTGTGATCTTGAAGGGTCAGCGAGATGCTACCCGAGCGGGGGTCTGCAGCACAGGCTCAGGAAAGGCACGTTCCCTTCCTTCTCCCGAGTGCTTCTCAGGCTCCCCCCTCATTTTGCCCACCCTCTCCCCATCTCTCCAGGGCTCAGCCTTTTGCTGCTGTCCTTGCTCCTGGCTCGAGCTGGTGTCTGGGGATTTCCGAGGCCCCCAGGGAAGCCCCCCCTGACCCTGCAGGAGGAGTTCAAGGTCAGCCTGCATCTTGCCAGGAAGCTGCTCTCCGAGGTTCGGGCCCAGGCCCGCCACTTTGTGAGTTTCCCTAATGCCACTGGCTCTGGGGGTGGGCGGATCCCCAGTCCCATCTGGCCCCCACTAACAGACCTTGCCCTACAGGCTGATGTTCACCTGCCAGGAGTGAACCTGGACCTCCTGCCCCTGGGAGAGCAGCTCCCCAATGTTTCCCTGACCTTCCAGGCCTGGTGCAGCCTCTCGGTGAGTCAGGGGGTACTTAAGGGGGGCAGGTGAACTAATACTAAGGCTTGGCTGGGCGGATAGAGATGAAGTCAGGGGTTGAGTTGAAGATAGATTTGGGGGTAGATTGAAGGACAGAATCTGGGTGAGGCTGAGTATGTCATTGGCTGTAAAGATTAAGCTGAATAAAGAAGTGGATTAAAAAGGCAAGCGTGAAGCTGGGCATGGGGTGGGGCTAGAATGGGACTAGGGATAGAAATTCCCACAGGGAGAATGGGGATGGCTGGGAGCAGGCAGTGGGCTGGGGACTGGGGACAGGAGTGAAATGAAGCGGGGGATGGGGAGAGATGGGGATTACTGGTGAGGTGGGAATGGAATGGGGTTTGGGTGGAGCTGGCGACGTGATAGAGAGATGGTGACAATGAGCCAGGACATATGAATGAGGGATGGAATTAGGAACAGGAATGGGGGGAGGGTTTGGAAAGAGGTTTAGGCTGAGAAGAAGTGAGGAGATGGAGACAGGGGAAATGGTGGAGACAGGAATAAGAGGCTTGTGGATAGAGAGCAACAATGGGGATGGGGTTGGGGTTATACGCAATTCATGCATGGGACTGAAAATGAGGTTGGGAAAGGAGACAGGATAGAGGTCCACAATGGAGACCAGAATGTCAAAGAGTGAAGGGAAGGAGTGGAGGAGATGGAGTTGAGGTTGGGAACAGCTATTCGGATGGAATGGGGACTAGAGTTTGGGATGGGGATGGGACCTGGAGGGGCTTGGGCTTGGGTTTGGAAGTGGGTCATCCATGGCCTGCTGACCTTTCCTGACCCCTTCCCTCTGCTTCCACAGGACCCAGAGAGACTGTTCTTCCTCTCCATGAAACTTCGCCCCTTCCAAGCCCTACTGGGGGGGCTGGGGAGCAAGGGGAGCTGGGCCAGCTCAGAGAGAACGCGGCTGTGGGCCATGAGGCTGGATCTCCGAGATTTGCAGCGACATCTACGCTTCCAGGTAGAGTGGCCCCCACCCTCCTTGATCGCTGGAAACCAAAACTGAGGATCATTGGCTCCCTTTTTAAAATATCCCCATGGCCACAGGTGGGGTANTCTGGGTGAGGCTGAGTATGTCATTGGCTGTAAAGATTAAGCTGAATAAAGAAGTGGATTAAAAAGGCAAGCGTGAAGCTGGGCATGGGGTGGGGCTAGAATGGGACTAGGGATAGAAATTCCCACAGGGAGAATGGGGATGGCTGGGAGCAGGCAGTGGGCTGGGGACTGGGGACAGGAGTGAAATGAAGCGGGGGATGGGGAGAGATGGGGATTACTGGTGAGGTGGGAATGGAATGGGGTTTGGGTGGAGCTGGCGACGTGATAGAGAGATGGTGACAATGAGCCAGGACATATGAATGAGGGATGGAATTAGGAACAGGAATGGGGGGAGGGTTTGGAAAGAGGTTTAGGCTGAGAAGAAGTGAGGAGATGGAGACAGGGGAAATGGTGGAGACAGGAATAAGAGGCTTGTGGATAGAGAGCAACAATGGGGATGGGGTTGGGGTTATACGCAATTCATGCATGGGACTGAAAATGAGGTTGGGAAAGGAGACAGGATAGAGGTCCACAATGGAGACCAGAATGTCAAAGAGTGAAGGGAAGGAGTGGAGGAGATGGAGTTGAGGTTGGGAACAGCTATTCGGATGGAATGGGGACTAGAGTTTGGGATGGGGATGGGACCTGGAGGGGCTTGGGCTTGGGTTTGGAAGTGGGTCATCCATGGCCTGCTGACCTTTCCTGACCCCTTCCCTCTGCTTCCACAGGACCCAGAGAGACTGTTCTTCCTCTCCATGAAACTTCGCCCCTTCCAAGCCCTACTGGGGGGGCTGGGGAGCAAGGGGAGCTGGGCCAGCTCAGAGAGAACGCGGCTGTGGGCCATGAGGCTGGATCTCCGAGATTTGCAGCGACATCTACGCTTCCAGGTAGAGTGGCCCCCACCCTCCTTGATCGCTGGAAACCAAAACTGAGGATCATTGGCTCCCTTTTTAAAATATCCCCATGGCCACAGGTGGGGTAAGTCTGGAGGGAGATGCTCCAGATCCTGTGTGTGTGTGTGTGTGTGTGTATAAGTGTGAGTGTGTGTGTGCGTGTGTGTGTGTGTGTGTATGTAGCCACATCAGGTCCTGGCTCTACCCCCTACCTCTTGGGGTCTTGGTCTTGAATAAGAGAATAGCTCTGAAGCACCCAGTACAGCATCCGGCATCTGCAGGACCAATAATAAAGTTGGTTTCCTTCTCCCTGCCACCCTCTGACATCATCAGATCATTTCAAAGGGAAATAAAAATTTTACCTTTATTAAAAGAAGAATTGAAAATGCAAGCAGCAGAAAAGCCAGCTATATCACCTTTCTGCCCATTTCTGATCCTAAGATGACGATTAAGACAGGAATTTCCAGAACCCCAAGTGCCCAGAGCAATCCTGGATGAATGAGCCAGCTCCCTCCATGGGCACCATCTCACTCTGTGACTTCCATTTTCTTGAAGCAAAACAATCAGGCAGGACACATGAGATGATGACATAATGGAAGATCTGAAGTAGGGGCTGTCCAGGGAAATCATAACTTTGTGGTCTCTGATGTCATTTGGCACCACTAGGCACGTAAAGGAACAGGATTCACTCAGCATCTCAGCAGGGCCATTTCTGACCTGTGGTCCTCTCCTCACAGGTGCTGGCTGCAGGATTGAACCCCCCTGATGATGAGGAGGAGGAGGAGGAGGGGAAGGGGCTGCTCCTGGGGACCCTGGGCGGCCCCTCCCAGCTGTCCTGGCCCCAGCTCCTCTACACCTACCAGTTGCTGCACTCCTTGGAGCTTGTCTTGTCTCGGGCCGTGCGGGACTTGCTGCTGCTCTCCCAGGCTAAGAACCCAGTCCAGGCCTGGGGGTGCCCAACACTGGCTGGCTCCCAGCCCTGATGCAGTGGTTTCTTCGCCCCTTCCCTCACCAGTTAGGACTTTAGGACCAGGGTCTGTACCAACAGGACAGCCACCAGCTCACTGCCTTAGACAAGGCAGGGCTCCACTGACCTCCCTCCCCAGACCCTACCCAATAACTTAAAGCCCCTCCAGTCCTTGCTGGATATTTATTTCATGGATATTTATTTATTGTTTAGGGAAATGATGATTTATTTATTGTTTCAGGGCCCGCTGGCTGTCCTCGGCTAGGCCGCCACTCTGGGTACCTAATAAAGCACTCTCACCCTCGCTCTGCCTCGGCTTCTTTTCAGAGAAGGGGTGCTTGGCACCCAAAGAGAGCCTAGAATGGACTCTGAAGCCTCTGGCCACCCTGGACCTCTCTCTGCTCCTACATTTTGGGGTTCCTGGCCCACCTTTCCCCACTCTGGCTTGCTCAGTGTAGTTGCCAAAGCAACCAGCAGAGTTCTGAGGCTGAGCTCCCATTTGGAAGTTCCAGGCAGCTGATCCGCTTGCATCAACCTCTGACTGTAAATGGAGCTCCATGGGCCCTCCCAGCCCCTTTCCTCTGGGCTGCCTTTCTCCCACAGCTCGCTAAGGGCTTGGGGAGGGCTTCGGGCAGTGGGAAGGCTGTAGGAGGATTGTCTCTGTCCCCTCTCAGTCCTCCGGACAGGTTAGGGAGGTAGTCAGGACAGGCCGTGAGAGGTGGCGTCCGTGAGGCAGGCGGTCCGTCAGCTCCACTGGAGAGTCAGATTCCTTAAGTTCATGGTTCTCAAAGATGTCTGGTTCTGTCTGCTCCGTGAATGAAGCACCAAAAACTAAGGCCCAGAGTGTGGATAGGGGGGCATCCAAAGCAGCCGAGGGAGTCACGCTGAGCAGGGTTCAGCAGAGGCCTCCACCTCTCACTCAGGGCCTGGCTCCGGGGCTCGGGGCTGTCACTGGGGCTTTGGCCTGCCCAGCCTGGCCTGCAGTTCCTGCATCATGCCCGAGTGTGCAAGGCCAAACCTGGGCATGGAAGACAGACGGGGGAGCTGGTCTCCAGGTTTCTGCAGCCTCCTGCCCAGCCAGCCCAGTCACCTCCCCCAGTGCTTACCCGTGTCCCAGGGGCCTTCTGGCTGGCACTGGGGTCCCTTCAGGCCTCGGGAGGCTTGGCTCTGGAGGTTCCTCTGGCTGGAGAAGTCTCTGCTCTGGGGCTGACAGCTCTTCCTCTGGTGGGGGGCTAGCAGGCTCCTGCTGCTCAGGGGTGGGGATCCTCCGGAAAGAGGGCCGGGAGCGACGACGCTGTGAGGAGCTGCGGGAGAGGAGTACACGGCTCCGCGGGACAGAGACATCCAGGCGAGACACAGGGAGGAGGGCCTGCAGGGAAGGGAGCACCCAGTATTATGGGGCTGGCTTCAAGGTTCTGGTCTGTTTGGCTCTGGACCCTACCTGGAGCCCCTACCTCACTCCAGCTGCCATGAGCATCCCCTCGGGCACTTCCTGCAGCCTCTTCACAGGGCCCAGGCTCCACCTCTGCAGGCTCCTGATTTGTTGGCTGGTCCTCTGTGCCTTGGACCACCTCCAGGTCTTCTGCAGCTGTGTCCTCGGCCTCTGCCCTCTGGTGTCTGGTCACCTCGGCATCTTCCATATCACAGGGCACTTGTACCTCTCCCTCAGGGCTGAGGTCCCCACACTGCCTCTCGCTGCCTTGGCCCTGCTGAATTGCTTGCCATACCCCAGCCTCTTTTTCCAACAGCATCTGCCCTTCTGGGAGTCCCTCAGCCTCCACTATGGCCAAGGTCCCCTCTGCCCTCACCGCCTGGGAGCCCGAGGTAAAGCCATCCATCCCACAGCCTCCTTCTGCCACTCTAGAGTCCCCAACCTCCACCCACTCTCCCCCTGGCTCGCCCTCCGTAGCCTCAAAAGCCTCCGCCTGGCCACCTCCCCCGGTAGCCTCCTCTCCTTCTGAGCCCTCCAGGCCAAGGCCCTGCCCACCTCTGTTCTCTCCCTCTGCAGCCTCCAGCAGCTCCTCACCTCTGCCGGCTTCCTCTCTCCCTTCTGAGTCCCAGCCTCTCCCAAATATCCCATCCCAAACTTCCCCGGCCTCTCTTTCAGGCCCTTCCCCAGTCGCAGCAGCCCTTTCATCTGAAGCTGCCTTATGCCCCACAATCCCGGAGGCCGAAGGACTGGCTGGCGCGTCCTCACTGTCCTGGAAGCTCAGCGCTGCCTCCGTCAGCCTCCAGTCTCTCCTGGGTGTTTCATCTGCCTCCCAGGACACTTCGGCCTGTCCCTGCTCATCCTTGGTTTCCCTGGCACCTGACTCTCCCAGTGACTGGTCTGCCCTTACTTCTGCCCCGCGCCCTCCCCGTGGCTCCTGGCTCTCTGCTCCACACCCTGCTTCCTTCCACTCTCCGCCGGCCTCCAGGGCCTGTCCCAGTGCGGACTCTGGGACTCCTGCAGCCTCCCCTTTCCCTTCCCCCTCTTCAGCACCTACTTTTCCCTGAGGGGTATCCCCGCTCTCTACATCCCTTTTCCTCTGGTTTTCCCAGGCTTCTGCACCAGGCTTTACATACCCTGTGTGCCTGGGGTCATCCTCCAGGCTCCTTTCTGTCTCCTCTTTGCTCAGGGCTGGAATGCTCCAGAGCTCTTCCTTCCCTCCCAGTCCTTCCTCAGGTTGTTCCACTGGGGTCTGGAAGCCTCCTATCAGCTCAGGTTCCTGAACTTCAGTGTGCTCAGGGCCACCACACTCCACCCCCAATTCTTCTTGACCCATCTGAGCTTCCTCCTCATGTCTCATCTCCCTGAACTCCTCTTCAGGTCTGGCCTCTGGGGTTTCCTCAAAGTCGGCATCACTTTCAGCCTCATTTGCCACTTTGTCCCAGGACAGCTCAGTCTCTATGGCCTGGCAACTCTCTTTCTCCTCCTTGGCCTCCTGTGCCTGCACCACCTCGTCCAGGCTGGCTTGAGCAGCCCTGATCTCTGAGTCTTGCCTTCCCTTGGCCTCTTTCCCATCCTGATCTGCCTGACCCTCAAAGCCCTCGCTTGCCTCCCACTCTGACTCCTGTCCTTCAGCAGCCTCCTTCCCTGCTGTCTGGTCCTTGGCCGCTTCTCCCATTCCTTCAGTTCCCAGGGCCTGGGTCTGTTGCAGGAATAGGCTCACCTCAGCCTCTCTATTTTCACCCACCTCCTCCTCCTGGGCTTCCTTGGAGGCCTCTTCTAGGACCCAAGCTATCCTATCTCCTGGGACTGCCCCATATTCTGTCTCCCTGACTGCTGGGAGGTCAGCCACCTCCATGCTTGAGGCCTCCTCCCCATCTGAAGTAGTCTCAGTCTCCTCCCTTCCTGAGGTTGTCCAGGCCTCCTCCCTGCCTGAGGTTGTCCAGGCCTCCTCCCCTCCTGAAGTTGTCCTGGCCTCCTCCCCATCTGAAGTTGTCTCAATCTCCTCCCTGCTTGAGGTTGTCCAGGCCTCCTCCCTGCCTGAGGTTGTCCTGGCCTCCTCCCCATCTGAAGTTGTCTCAATCTCCTCCCTGCCTGAGGTTGTCCAGGCCTCCTCCCCGCCTGAGGTTGTCCAGGTCTCCTCCCCCCCTGAGGTTGTCCAGGCCTCCTCCCCGCCTGAGGTTGTCCAGGCCTCCTGCCCACCTGAGTTTGTCTCAGTCTCCACCCTGCCTGAGGTTGTCCAGGCCTCCTCCCCACCTGAGGTTGTCCAGGCCTCCCCTCTGCCCAAGGTTGCCCCATCCTCAGACTCTCTCCCTGGCTCCTGTGTCCCCTGTGCCCTCGTGCTCTGGCTATCCGTCACCATGGCCACCACCTCTTCTTCCCTCCCGGCCTCTTTGGCCCCAGGCTCCTGGATCTCCTCTGCAGCTGCCTCCTTGACTGCCTGTTCTGGCTGCCCGCCATCCCCTGCCACCTCCTGCCCTTCGGCACTGGCCTTCCCCTCAGGCTCCCTGGGCCTAGTCCTCTCTGACTCCACCCCGCTGGCCACCCCTGGCTTTCTTGCCCTGACCTCTTCCTCCTCCTGTTCCCAGGTTCTCAGTGTCCCGTCTCTGTTCACTTCCTGCTCATTGCACTCCTGACTCTCCTGGGCTTGGCCGCTCCTGTCTCCACCAGCCTCAGACGCCGCCTCAGGCTTCTTTCTAGCCTCCAAGGGGGCACTTGGCTCTTGGCACCTGGAGGCCTTGGCTGCCTCCCACGCCCCAGTGTCCTGCCTATCTCCTTGGGACCCATGGGAGCTGCCTTCTCCCCAACTCCAGGTCTGTTCTAGAGCTGATCTTCCCTCCTGGTGTATTCTAGCCTCTCCAGGCCCTCTCAGGCCTCCAGCCCCCTTGCTCTGGCTGCCTCCAACAACCTCCAGGGCCTCCTGGGCTTCCTCCTCTACAGTTCTCCCTGGCCTTCCTGCAGCCACCTCCCCCAGTTCCTCAGCTGCCCGTGCCTCCCTCCTCTCCACAGTGGGGACCTCATCTCCCAAAAGGTAGGAGACAAAGGTGCTGAAGGAATCCTAGAAGAACGGGGAGGGGGAAGACAAATGTATTAAGGGGAGGCCCAGCTCTCTCCTGGGGGCCCTGGGCCAGAGGAACTCAGAATAGGAGGGGTTCTGGGGCCTGGAAGGAGGACAACAGGATCTGCAGAAGGAATAGGAAAGGGCCTAGATTGGGGTATGTGGGTATGTTTGCGGAGGTGGGAGGATTGAAATCCAGAAAAGATTGGGTTAGGAGGCTGCCTGATCCTAAAGAAGGAATCTCAAGTCTGAGGAGAGACTCAAAGGGAGGAGGGAAGGTGAGGTCCCAGACAGCAGGGTGAAAGTCTCTGGCATCTCTTTGCCCGTCTCACCAGTGTCCCCCTCAAGGCCTGATGCAGCCCAGGGAGATGCAGCCGGAGGAAATCCATCTTGTCTGTCTCTGTGTGTCCAGAAAGCTGACAGTGACCGTCCCCACCCACCAAGACAAGCCAGTCTTCCCCGGGACCCAACACACTTCCTCTTCCCCTGTTTCCCCCTGACGCATCCTTACCCCAGGCCCTACCCACCTTCTGCAATGCCCACAGCAGCTTCCAGCCCAGGCTGGGAAGTGGGTGTGCACCGTACAGGGAACTCAGGTGCATGTTTGGAGCTAAAGGGCAAAGGAGGAAGCCAGAAAGGAAAGAAACGGGAGCAGGAGACCTCAGAATTGGGGAGGAGGGAGGGGGCATGCGGCAACTGCAGCTCAAGTGACTCAGGTCTTGTATTCACACCTCAGCCATTTCCGTCTCCCCACAAGCCACAGCCACTCTGTGAGAGGAAGCTGGGGTTTGTGGTTCCTGTTTTGCCTGCAGACAAAGAGGAGGAGTGAGGAGGGGGCTGGTGAGAGCTCTGGCTTGGCACGTCGGGGTCATTAATGCTTCCCCAAGGGGCGAGAAGGGGCTGCATTGGCGGCTTCAATGCCTGTTCCCTCATCTGTAGTCATTCTTGTGAAACAAAACTTGGCTTTGTATTGTGGTCATTTGTGTCTGCCTCCCACCCTCCTGTGAGTTCCTTGCGGGCAGAGGCCGCGTGTGACACGCTGAATTTCTAGAGCCCTGCATGGGTGGCAGGGCCTCATTTTTCACTGGTTGAGTGACCTGGGAAGAAGACCAAAAGGAGCACATACCCGACAGCAGTCTGAGGGCCTGGTGGTGAGGAAGCGCTGACCCAGGCGGCCGGGCTACGGGAAGCCCATAGGAGAGGTTAGCAGGGGCAGGAGGTGAAGAAAATTCAGAATGCGTCTGTACCGCCGAGGGGGAGGTAAGAGGAGCCATCCTTACTTGGGACTAAGTGAAGTGACATTGATCTACACCCCTTTCCCCAACCCCCATCCGGAGCCCCACTTCCTAAATGACCGATTAGAGGAAGGAGAGGAGAATCACAGAGTCGGAACCCGGGCCTTGGACTCCTCCGGTCTAAGCTCCCTGCTGCCGGCAGGGATCCTGCGGCAGCCTGCTCAGCCACACCGGCTCCGGCGCGCTCCTCGGGGCACCTTGGCGCCTAACTTTGTATGATCATCGGTAACCTTCTGTTACCGGGGCTTAGGCTACTTCTGTGATATTCGTTGGTTCTAGGATAATTTGCCGAAGGGGTCTCTTAACGCCTTGGGTACTTCCCATAAATAATTCACGAAATCCTCTTAGGTGGGTGTTACCTTTACTTTGAGTTTCTAAAGCAATCTAAGGACAACAGAAAGGAGTAAGGATGACCTGAAGCTGTCCGTCTTTGTTCTCGGCCAGAAACAGTCGTATCTGAAATGAGTAGCCAGGTGGCCATCTTTGTTTCTGGCAATGAGGGTCGGAGAGCTGAAGCCGATAGCGGCCATGATTAGTGCTGGCACAATAGTCACGGCCTCGGGCGCTGTTAATTTAACGTCGGGGCCCTTCTTGCTGATCCCATCCAATCCAGTTTTAAAGCAGCGGTTCCAGGGTTCTCCGGGCCTCCCTCGGACCCGCACCCCGAAGCTGGCGAGGCCGAAAGCGAGGATACAGAGAAGACCCGGAAGTGGTGAGGACCTCGAAGCACGTGATGGGGGAACCGGCTGGCGCTGTCACGTGACCAGCCACCCTCGATTCCTTAGTGTGGAATGTTCAGCGGCTCTTAAAGGTACAGGCTGCAGGGACCCCTGCTTTAGAGGGGTGGGGGCAGAGTCCGACGGGTGGGGGCGTGGTGGGGCGTGGAGAACGCGACATGGATCCCCGATTTAGTGTAGTGGATTGCGGGGCGCGAGTGCAGCAGAGAAGCGCAGCTGGGGCCGGCAATGGGGCGTTGATCCTTCTCGCCCGCCGCAGACCCTCCCCGTCCCGTCGGAGCCAACTCTGAACTTTCGCTGACTCTGGACCCCTGGGGGAACCTGACCCTGATGCCATGGGAGGCTGTGCAGGCTCTCGGCGGCGCCTCTCGGATTCCGAGGGTGAGTATGAGGGCCCCCGCTGGAGGGGCTGCCTCTGCCCCGCGACCCACCTGACGAGCTCAGGAGCAGGCGCGACCCGGGAGCGCCCGTGGGGTCCGCGTACGCCTGAGAGTGGGGGGCCCTGCCCCCGTCTCGCCCTCGCAGAAGAGACGACCGCCCGGGCGCCGCGGCCCCCGCCGGCCCCGCGGGGCGCCCACTGGAGGAACGCGCTGGGCTTCTGGTGAGTGGCCTGCGGAGTTCGACGCGAGTAAAACGCGGAGAAAAGGGGGGAGCGACGGGAGGAAGAGGGGAAGCGAGCCTTGAAAGGGAGCTGAATCCGCAACCATTTTCTGACCCAGCTGGTTTTCCCTGAAGCGACGTGTCAATGTCCCAAACTTAAATTATTTACATACCACCTGTAGGATTACTTGTTTTTATTCCAACCAGGTAAGCCTTTAAATTTGTAAATATACGTGTGTGTTTTTCCAAGGAAACTTTAAATCACTACTCTATATGGAGAGCCAGTATTTCCCTAATGCACATTTAATTAAATGCATCACTACTTTTTAAAAGGTCATCCTCTGCCTTCCTAAAATCACTTAAGTACTGAAAAATACTTCCAGCACCAACCTAAACATCGAGGACTTGGGTGGCAGGTTGGGCTGGAGGTGACTTCCCATCCGACCCTGGTCACTTAGCCTCTCTGAGCCTCAGCCTGTCAGCAGCGAAGTAGGAAGAGCAGTAGTCCCCCTGCACCTGAAATCTCTGGCGCTGGGCCCAGTTCCATTCCCATCACTGAGGGCAGCTCCGGGAGATAAGTGTAAGCAAGCAAGGTCCTTCCTGGATCATAAAGGACTTTGGTGTTGTCTTGTGTTGATCCCTACAGCACTCTGCAAGGTAGAAGAGAAATTTGTATCCCCACTTTTCATATGAGTGGACTGAGACCACTCAAGTAGGAAGTGGCAGACCTGGGACCTGAATGTAGTCCTTTGCTTTCACGCCCCAGGAGCTTTCTACTGTACAATAGCGCCTCAGAGGCAGTGAGTGGCTCAGTGGATGAGAAATGCCCCAGAAACTGGTGGGAGCTCAGAGGAAGTCATCAAGGATGACTTTCTTCTCTTCCTGGGAGAAGTCTGATCCCAAAGCCTGTATTTCTAACCCTAACTCTGAATAGAGATGAGGTCTGGTGATAGAGAAAAAAGTGGGAAGCTGATTGAAGGAAAGGGGGAGGTTTGGTGCTAGGATTGCGGATAGATTATAGGCCTGAAAGGAGGTTAAGATCTGCTTATATGTCAATTATATCTCAGTAAAACTGGGGGGAAATCTGTTCTGCTCACTCCAGGCTCCTGGGCCTTTGCAACAACTTTTCTTATGTGGTGATGCTCAGTGCTGCTCATGACATCCTTAGCCACAAGAGGGCATCTGGGAACCAAAGCCATGTAAGTGACCCTCTCTACCTCCACCACTGTGGGAAGAGGAACTCACCCTGGGGCAGAGGCTCCCTGGAAACACTCATAGAATGGGGTAGCCAAAGGGCTGAGTAAGAGGGCTAAAGTTCCCAGTCTCCCAGATCTCAGAGCAGGAAGGGTCTTTAAAAATCAGTTGGTACCCGGCCGGGCGTGGCTCAGCGGTTGAGCATTGACCTAGGATGCAGGAGATTGGGGTTCAATTCCGGGTCAGGGCACATGCCCGTGTTGCGGGCTAAGCAGCCGATCAATGACTCTCTCATCATTGATGTTTCTCTCTCTCTCTCTCCCTCTCCTTTTCTCTCTCTGAAATCAATAAAGATATGTTTTTTTANCTCATCATTGATGTTTCTCTCTCTCTCTCTCCCTCTCCTTTTCTCTCTCTGAAGTCAATAAAGATATGTTTTTTTTAAATAAAATAAATAAAAATAAAAATTAATTGGTGCCAGGTGTACAAACTCAGGTGTTGGCTGGGTAGAACCATGGTCTGTGGCAGTTCCTTAACCCTCACGCTGTTAACGTTTGGGGCTGGATAATTCTTTGTTGTGGGGCTGTCCTGTGCATTGCCGGATCTTTAGCAGTGTCCCTGGCCTCTTCCCTAGATGCCAGTAGCATCCTCTGCCCTCCGGCTGTGATAGTCAAGAATGTCTCCAGACATTGCCAGATGTTCCCTGTGGGATGTAATCACCTCTGACAGAACCTCTTGTTTATGAGGAGCTGGAGGGCACATGCCCAAGGAGAGAAGCTGCCACGTTGCAGGTCCCGCAGGGAATTTGGTCCAAGATCAGACTTTCTGGAAATCCACATTTTTAAATGAACTCCTGAATGTGTTACCCAGATAAAGTCCATTTACAGGGCCATCTTTGTCCAGTGGATCGTTCTATGGAATCCTCCTTCCCATTGTGCACATAGAGAAACTGAGGTCCAGGAGGCCAGTGCTGACCCAAGGCCATCCTTCAAGTTAGAGCAGGGCTGGGACTGGAGCCAGGCCCTGTTTGTCTACCCTCTTGCCTGCCTGGGTGAAAGACTTTCTTCTTTCCCATCAGGTAGACCCAGACCCAGTCCCCACCCCCCACAATAACTCATCTCGATTTGACTGCAACTCCGTCTCCACAGCTGTGAGTACCCATCTGGTCCTCCCCTGACCCCCAGCCCCACTGCCTGAGCATCCAGCTGGGACTATCATAATTATAATCATTAAGACTGCCATTTCCTGAACCCTTTCTGTACGTAGCTAATATTGGCTCATTTAATCCACACAGCAGTGCTGTGAGCTAGGCAGTTAATCATCCCGCACTTTCCAGATGAGGAAACTGGAGCTCAGAGAGTGTGAGTGCCTTGACACAGCTAAGGAGCGGCAGAGCTGGGACTTGAACCCAGATCTGAATTCAGAGCCTGTGCTTGCAGCAGGTCTAATTGGCTGGTTTCTGTCTTTCCTCGGCCACTTGGCTCAGAGGTTTGTCCCGGGAAGGTCTGGGGCCTCACTCTGTTCTCCTGTCTCAGGCAGTGCTCCTGGCAGACATCCTCCCCACTCTCGTCATCAAATTGCTGGCTCCCCTTGGCCTTCACCTGCTGCCCTACAGGTCTGGATGGGGGTAGCGGGAGGAGGGGCGGCTGGGGTCTGGGAGGGCAAAGGAGGCGGCAGGCGAAGCTGACCTTCCCCTTCCCTCCACCTCTCCCCTCAGCCCCCGGGTCCTTGTCAGTGGGCTTTGTGCTGCTGGAAGCTTCATCCTGGTTGCCTTTTCTCAGTCGGTGGCGATCAGTCTGTGTGGTGAGTGTGAGATTTTGTATCAGGTGGGAGGCCCAGAGGAACTGCAACAGAGCATTTGTGGGAGTAGTTCCCCCAACTCCCCAGAGGAAAGGGATTATTTTTGTAACCCTCAGAAGCTGCTAGGACTGCTCAAGTAGGAGAGGGGAGATGATGCCAATTTGGAGGGGTAGGTGGTGGGGGACATGGGAGGAAACGGATGGTTTAGATGGAGATTGAGATGAGCGCAGAAGCCAAGACTTCATCACAGGGGTGGAGGGGGCGTCCAGGGTCCAGGATGAGTTCTTGTGCCTCATTTGATAACGGTGGGTATCAGTACCATTCCCTGTGAGAGGACATTCAGAGGAGGGCTTGGTTCTGCTTCAGATCTGGAGCCCCGCCCATCCAAGGGTCTGTTTTTAGCCCCTCTGAGCTGATGCAGAGGAGGCCATGGCCGGACACCTTACGGGATTGGGGTACTGGGAAAAGGCCAGTATGGCCACTGCTGTGCTTGTCCTCCCCCTAGGTGTGGTCTTGGCTAGCATCTCATCAGGCCTGGGGGAGGTCACCTTCCTCTCCCTCACTGCCTTCTACCCCAGGTAAGCAGGCAGAGCAGGGAGTGGGGAGAGGAGGTCCCACTGCTGGCTTTGGTCCTTCTTAGTGCTCCAGTGTTCTCCTTCTCAGGGCTGTGATCTCCTGGTGGTCCTCAGGTACTGGGGGAGCAGGGCTGCTGGGGGCGTTGTCCTACATGGGCCTCACCCAGGTTGGCCTCTCCCCCCAGCACACCCTGCTGTCCATGCTGGGCATCCCCGCCTTGCTGCTGGCCAGGTAAGCTGCACTAGGCTGGGAGGAAGAGGGCTTAGAGGAGAGAAAACTAGATCATGATCCCAATCCTCAGATCCCTACAGTCTTGTTATGAGGGATGTCGGTTCTGATGGGCCTAGGTTTCAGTCTGGAGCCGCCACTTGTTAGCTGTGTGGGATGGGACAGGTTGCTTTATCACCCTGACCCTCCGTTTTCCCATATTTCAATGGTGGCTGTTCTCCTTGCTTCTCTGCAAGGTGATGTGTGTGAAGCGTCCAGTACAGTGTGGGTCCCAAGGTGATTTGAGGGGGACAAGGGAGGACTTGATTAATTTTTATGTGTATTTTCATGTGTATTAGGAAAAAATTTTAACTAGTCAGTCAAACCTCTAATTTCACAGACTATTGCTTAGGACAAGGCCATGTAGAAAAAGGGAATCAATTGAAAGAAAAGTATTAAGTAAAAAATATTATACGCAGGAGGAATGTGGATATGACAGATAGCATGAAAACAAAACATAAGTGAAATTTGGGAGGTTCTGGCCTAACACAGAATGGAACACATAATTAAATGGTAGCTAGAGCAGTCATTGGAATAGTAATGTCAAGAAAACAGCTGACTGGCTCAGTGTGAGCAGCTAAGAGACAAGCTTCAGCTCTAGGGAAAGGAACGTTTTCTACAGTTGGCAGCTCTCTGCACAGGATGGGGTGCCTCAGAGGAGTGTAGAAATGAGGGGGCTGCCTGGGTAGGAGTGGCCTTTCCTGCCCAACAGAGGCTCTTGGACCTTATCTCACTCTACCTGCTCCTAGCTACTTCTTTTTGCTCACATCGCTGGAGCCCCAGGACCCTGGAGGGGCGGAAGAGGCAGAGAGAGCAGCTCGGCAACCCCTGATGAGCACCGAGGCCCCAGAATCAAAGCCAGGTGGGAGACACAGGAGGTCCTCAGCGTCACGCACTCTGGGGTTTAGCCTTCCTCTCTACAGTGGGCAGTTGGAAGGGGAAGTGGGTGCGTGAGAGCCAGTCACATGCATCTAGTCAAGAGATACTCATTGGGCCCCAGCCAGTTTGGCTCAGTGGTTAGAGTGTCAGCCCTCAGATTGGATGGTCTTGGGTTTGATTCCCATCAAGGGCACGTACCTCGGTTGCAGGCCTGATCCCCGGCCCAATCGGGGGCTTGCAGGAGGCAACCAGTCGATGTGTCTCTCTCACATCGATGTTTCTCTCTCTCTCCCTCTCTCCCCCTTCCACTCTCTCTGAAAAGCAATGGAAAAAGTATCCTCAGGTGAGGATTTAAAAAAAAAAAATACTCATTGGGTACTTACTCCGTGCAGGTGTTCCCTTCAGTCACGGGGGTGCCGTGGGGAGTAAGACAAGGAAATGAGGCCAACTCCTGAACAGCTGAGTCAGAAACGTGCTTTTCACTTACTGATAAGTGCTGGAAGGACATAAGACAGTGATGTGCTAGGAAGTGACAACTGGGAGGAAATGGAGAGCAGGTCTGCTTAGAGAAGGTGATCGGGGAAGGCCTTTTTAAGGAGATGTCGTTGGGCTAAATTTGATGGACAAGGCATCAGCCCCGCAGACCACGGGTGAACAGGTTCCAGGCAGAGGGAACAGTAAGTGCTGAGGCCCTGCGGTGGGAACGAGCCTGGATGTTCAGGAAGCAGAAGGAAGGGGCCAGTGTGACGGGGGTAGAGATGTACAGCCATCAAACTGTACAAGAGCCGTGAAGAGATCTCCCCTGGTTAATTCTTTTTTATTAAATCTTGGCAAAATACACATATCGAAGTTTACCAGCTTGACCGTTTTAATTGCACGATCCAGTGCATTCACCCTGTTGTGCTGGCTGGTTCTTCCCAGCAGCACCCCTGTGCTGAGCCTGTATGCCAGCCTCACCTGCCCTTCTCTCCCTGCTCCTCTGCAGACTCCAGCTCAAGCCTCTCCCTTCAGGAGAAGTGGACTGTGTTCAAGGTATGGATGGTGGCTGTGGCCTGTCCCCGTCTGTCGCCAGTGCCCGTCTCCCCGCCTTGTACGTACGGTCTGTCTCTGACTCTTCCAGGGCCTGCAGTGGTACATTGTCCCCTTGGTCCTGGTTTACTTCGCCGAGTATTTCATCAATCAGGGACTTGTGAGTAAGGGCCACCGGGCGGGGGCGGGGCTAGAGATCAAGGTGGGGACTCACGCCCGTTCACCCCCGTCTGGTCCTTGCTGCAGTTTGAGCTCCTCTTCTTCCGGAACACGTCCCTGAGCCACGCTCAGCAGTACCGCTGGTGAGGGCACGGGCAGGCGAGGGCGGGCAGTCTGCTGGCAGGGCTGGGCCTGGCGCCGGGAGGGGCCTCCTCTTACCCCCTGCCCCCCGAAGGTACCAGATGCTGTACCAGGCCGGCGTCTTTGCCTCCCGCTCTTCTCTTCAGTGCTGTCGCATCCGCTCCACGTGGGCCCTGGCCCTGCTGCAGGTACCGGGCCCCTGGCCCTCGCTCCATTCCCACCTTAGCTCCCAGCTTCCCGACGCCCCAGTGCTTCCGTCCCTCGGCAGGAAGCGTCTGTGACTCACCGTCATGTTCTCAGTGCGGGAACAGAAGGCCAGCAGGGCTCCGTGTCCAGTGTGTCCCCCAGAGCCAGGCAGAGCTGATGTAAATTCCGGCTTCTGTACTCAGTGGCTGTGACATGTAGGGCAGGTCTCTGAACCAGTTTGAACCTCAGTTTCCTCATCTAGAAATCAGGCATGGCCAGCACCTACTTCTCAGGGTAGTCATAAGAAATAGAGGCGAGAAGAGGAATAAAAGAACAAGGTTTATATTGTGTCTTAATCAGTTAGAATCACTTCATGATTATTTGCACAAGCCTCATGCAGAGAGGCTTTCAAACAACATTTCTAACAATAAGAAAATGTGTGGTGCTTTTATTCCACATGGTTAACTATAATAGAATCAGTGACAGGTTATGTATCTCAAGGCTGGTGAGCAAATTCAACTACCCATGACAAAAGTGATCTACAGCTTTAAGAAAACACACACTTTCCCTCCCACAGTCTAAGAATTAAAGTACGTTTACATAACCAGCATTTATTGTTTCTACAGCCCCGTAGGTAACTATAAAATAAACTTTCAACTATTATAGGAAAGTCCTGTGTCCTTTTTAATTTACTTAAATCTATAACAACATCTAGAATAAGTATAGATTACACTTTAATGTTATGGCAACAGCCTGCAAATATCCTCTTTCTCCTTTATTTATTGAAGCAGCACCACCAGCCCAGGGCCTCGTAGCCCCAAAGGCCCAAATTCTTGTGTCAATAATTCTTAACTGAGGGATCTTCATTAGATGCTACTGAAATGTAGTTTATGATTTTAGTTATAATTTCAACCGAGGCTGCTTCATAGAAATAGGGGCGTATAATCACTTAACTCCATTACAGAAAGCGTCTAGCCTAATGCTGCCGATGAAAGTGTCTGCAGTGTTTTGCAGATCACGTTAGTATTACCAGAGTGTGTTCTTTTAAAGGCAGAGTTCTGAGCCCAGCTCAGACCGAATGAATTAGAACCTCTGAGGGCGAGGCCTGTCTGGGGAACAAGAGCCCCAGGTGATGCTTACATGCATCAAACCTGTGAACCACCCTGGTGGCAACCCCTTGCCCTCGGGGATGGGACATTGGGATCCCCTGAGTGACTGGGGCACAGAGGAGGACCTACACCCTTGGGTGGGGTCAGAGGCTTCCTGAGCGCGGAGGGAACATCTAAGCCAGATTTCTCAGCTGCAGCACTGGGGCTACATCATTCTTTGTCATGGGCTGGCCGGTAGGATGTTGAGCCCACCTCTGGCCTCCACCCATTAGATGCCAGTAGCAACCTTCATTCCCAGTTGTGACAACCAAAAACATCTCCAGACATTGTCAAGCGTCCCCTGGGCAGCAAAATCAAGCCCCATTGAGAGCCGCTGGTCTAAATGTAGCCTCAATGTGGCAAAACGGGGGATTCAGGGAGCCCTTGAGGGGAGGACTGAGATCACAGGACTAAGTGACTGTGATCCAAGCTGAGCTGTGGACAGTGGTGACAAGGAGATCCCAAGTGAGAGCAGGTGGAATGGCATTCCGGGGTTGGGAGAGACGTGAGCCAAGGGGCGAGGGAGGAGACCCAAGGTCCGGGAAGCTGGGACAGGGTAGAGAGAAGGTGTGACCCGGATCCCATGGTCTGGTAGCCCTGCTGGATGTTAGGATTCAACCCAGGCTTCCCAGCCCTCTCCCTCATCAGTGTCTCCAAGAACTGGGGCCACTGGAAGGGATGGCAGCCTCCCTTTCTGCCTGCCGCGGGTCCGAGGCTCAGCCCTCCCCTCCGCCTGCCCCACAGTGCTTCAACCTGGCCTTCTTGCTGGTGGACGTGTGGTTGAGCTTCCTGCCGAGCATCTACCTCGTCTTCCTGATCATTGTGTATGAGGGGCTCCTGGGGGGTGCTGCCTACGTGAACACCTTCCACAACATTGCCCTGGAGGTCAGCACCAGTGATGCGAGGGCTGTGGGTGGCCTTTCTGGGGAAAGCCAGGGCGGGGGTGTGGAGAACTGAAACCCCTGCTCCCCACCCTCCCTAGACCAGTGATGAGCACCGGGAATTTGCCATGGCAACCGCCTGTATGTCTGACACCCTGGGGATCTCCCTGTCGGGGCTCCTGGCCCTGCCTCTGCACGACTTCTTCTGCCACCTCTCCTGACACTGGGCTCCTTGGGACACAAGATGCACTGGCAGATGGGCAGGTTAGACCCCGGCCCACAGCCCAGGGCCCACCCACGAGCTCTGCCCTGGACTTCCCTGCATGGCTGGGCTGCAGAAAAGCGCCCAGGTCCCGTTTCCCTCTGAGCAAGGGGCAGCAGCTTTCTCCCCTCCACACTGATCTTGGGGACTCTCTTCCTGGCATTGTGCCCTCGGAATAAATGTCTATATTATCGATTGACTCTGGTGCCATTTTCCTTCTTGGAAAAAAAATTATTATGAAAGTAATACCATGGTGGGCACACAGTGCAATACACAGATCTCGCAGCATGAAACCCACACCTGAAACCTGTATGCTCATATTAACCAATGTCACCCAATACATTTAATTTTAAAAATTTTTTTAAAAAGTAATAGCAGCCCCCTTTGGAATATATGCAGGAGAGTATAAAGACAGCATTCAGCACATTTCTACCTGGCCTTCCAGGCTTATTCGTTCACTCACTATATGAGACACTCTACATATGTTTCTCCAACATGTAAGTTTTCAAACATGCAGAGACGTTGAAAGAATCTGTGCAGTGAGCACTCACATGGGAACTACCTGGCTTCTACAGTGACCATTTTGCTCTATCTGCATCAACACTTCGTTCGTCAGTCCACTTATTTTTGTAGTGTACTTCAAGATAGGAGGCTGGGAGCCAGCTTCATCATTCTTCACACCAGGTCTCTTCCTCTTCTGAATCAGCTGTGGCGGCCATGAAGACCCTAAACCCAAGACTGAGGAGGCCTGAGCCCAGGCAATGTTGGTGGCCAAAGTCAGCGCAGCCCAGGGGCTGCAGGACGTGCTGAGGACCAACATGGGGCCTAAAGGCATCACGAAGATGCTTGTTCTGGTGCTGGAGACAAGCTTACTAAAGACGGCAATGTGCTGCTTCATGAAATGCAAATGCAGCACCCAACAGCCTCCTTGACAACCAAAGTGGCAACAGCCCAGGATGACATAACTGATGACGGTGCCACTTCCAGTGCCCTGGTCATTGGGGAACTGCTAAAACAGATGGGTCTCTCCGTTTCTGAAGGTCTCATCCCAGTATAATAACAGAAGGGCTGAAGCTGCAAAGGAAAAGGCACTTCAGTTTTTAGAACAGGTCAAAGGAAGCGAAGAGCTGGACAGGGAAACACTCCGATGTGGCCAGAACACCTGTGTCCTAAAGTTCATGCTGAACTCGCTGGTGTCTTAGCAGATGCTGTAGTTGACTCCATCCTGACCATTAAGACACAAGATGAACCTATTGACCTTCATGGTTGCGATCAGGGAGCTGAAACATGAATCTGAAACTGATACAAGCTTAATCAGAGGTCTTGTTTCGGACCGTGGGGCATGGCGTCCTGATTTAAAAAAGAGTAGAGGCTGCATGCATCCTCACGTGCAACGTGTCATTAGAATATGAAAAGGACAGTGGATTCTGGCTTTTTTTTTTTTTTTTTTTTTAATTCTAACCAGAGGGTATTTTTTCCATTGCTTTTCCGAGAGAGTAGAAGGGAGAGAGAAAGAGAGAAACATCAATGTAAGAGAGAGACACATCAATTGGTTGCCTCCCCACATGGGCCCTGACTGGGGCCAGGGATGGAGCCTGCAACTGAGTTACGTGCCCTTGGCCGGAATCGAACCGGGGACCCTTCAGTCTGTGGGCCAACACTCTAACCACTGAGCAAAACCAGGCAGGGCTGACTTTTTTTTTCNTCTTTTTTTTTTTTTTTTTTTTACACAAGAGTACGGAAGAGAAACTAGTAAAAACTGAAAGAAAATTTATTGAAGATAGAGTTAAAAAATAATAGAACCGAAAAGGAAATCCTGTGGTAACTCAAATATAGGATTTGTTTTTATTAGTCAAAAGGGAATTGACCCGTTTTGTTTAGATGCTCTTGCGGAAGAAGGCGTGGTAGCTGTGCAGAGAGCTGGAAGGAGAAACATGGAAAGGCTGACTTGCTTGTGGTGGGGCAGCTCTAAATTCTTTTGATGGCCTGACTCAGTTGGGACACGCAGGACCTGTCTGTGCACTGGGGGAAGAGAAGTTCACGTTTTTTGAGAAATGGAACAGTCCTTGCTCTGTCCCATGATTGGCCAAAAGACCAAATAAGCACACACTCACTCGGGAAAGATGCAATAATGCTGCTGATGGCCGTGGAGGCGCAGGCCCGGGTCCGTGGAAGTGGCAACGGCAGCAGCCCTGATGAAATGCAAGCCCACGTGAAGGGGGCCCACCTTGGAGTTCAGGCTTTCGCTGCTGCACTGCTGCTGTTCCCAAGGCCTCGCTCAGAATCCTGGCCTTTTTGATCTTCAGGAAACACTAGTCAGACTTCAAGCAGGACATTCAGGATCAGGGCAACTTGTGGGTGTGACTTGAACACAGGTGAGCCACTGGGATAACTACTGTGGAAAGAAGCAGCTTCGTCACCCCTGCGCTGCGATTGCCACCAGCACTCCTGGCCGATGAGATGGTGTGAGCTGGAGCGTCTTCTCTAAGAGGTCGGATTGAAGCTTCCCTTGTATCATCTGAATCATGAGACCAGAGTGATCCTAAGAAGAGGGTCGGCTATGGTGTTTTTGTCCTGGCTTCCAATTATTCTCAAAGGAATTTTCTTTTCCCATATGGAGAAAGGAGAGAACACTGGCACCTATTCAAACTCTGAAGTCTGAAATTATAACCAATATTTTTTAAATTGCTCACAGTGTATGCACATAAAGCAGACCATTTTCACCCAAAACAGGATGTTTGCTTTCGTTTCTATCTACTTTATTAAATATTCCTTGAAAAACAAATTTTAATGGTTTAATAATGTCTTCTAATGATGTATTTTCATTTACCCCCAATAGTTCCCTATTAAGCATTTAAGTTTAAATTTTTATGCTAAAATAAATAACACTTAAGTAACTTAGGTTTTGAAAGCATCCCTGTTTCCTTAGTGTAAATTGCTGTGTGTAAAACTGTTGGGTCTTTCCATTGGACTTTTCATGCTTTTGAAGTAGCTTTGCTAAAATGCTCCCCAGGAATGTGAAGCGGGGGTGGGTAGAAAGATGGGTGAACTAGAGGCAAGGGAGTTGCATGAGCTGCAAGTATAAAATGGCAAAAATAAAAATAGAGAAGGCAGAGGTAGAAAATGGCTGAAGGCATGGGGACAGGGCCCGGTGAGAAGGAATTCTCAGGGAGGCCACATTGCACACCTCTGAGCCTTTGCTTCTGCTGAAATATCCATCCCCAAACCTCCTGTTTCACCTTCTGCCCACTTAAATCATTCTCCCCTACGTTTCCACAAATCGTTTTTATACCATTGGTGTATCTCCGCAGTCCTCGAAGGTGACATTGCGTATTTTGAGGTCTTGGCCGTTGCCTACAGTGAGTGCGCAATAAACAGGTTTCACTTGAAAAAGTAGGGGGCTGACTTGGAGACACCTCCCTCTGCACGCTTCCGCGTGCGCAATAACTAGAATCTGGTATTTCTGTGCAGTCCCTTTTTAGGTACAGTTTACATGCAGTAAAATGCACAGATTGTTATATTTTAAGTAACTGAGGTAGGCTTAGCAGTGTTTCCATATTTCACTGTTCCTATCTCTACCATATTTGCCATAACTACACATACCAGTGCTTTTACTTAATATTTTCAGTGACTAACTTTTAATATAAATTGTTATTTTAAAGGGAAACAGTGTTACTATTGAAATCATGAGTTTGAAATGCTAATTATAGCTTTTTCTCTGTGACACATTAAAATAAATACATAACTATTGGTGTTTAAAATGAACATCCCAGTACCCCCCGAGACTACCCCATCACTACTAGTGATGTTTGTGGCCCACACCCAGGGAAATACTGACATGAGGCTTAACGGAATGCGCCTTGGAGGCAGAGAAACCTGACTGTCGGATCCCACTTCTGCCATTCCCTAGCTCTCTGATTTGGGGCAAGTCCCTTTGTCCCTCTGCACCTCAGTTTCCCAGTCTGTCAAATGAGGATAACACTGGTGCCGACACATCATAAGGTGGTTGTGGAGATGGTGTGAGATCATGGGAAAGCATAATCAGCACTCAATAAATGTTAGTCCTGATCATGCTATGGTTTGAATCCTGCCTTTACCTTTTACCTTGTACTCTGCAGGTGGTTCTCAAACCACCAGAGGACTTGTTGAAATACAGGTGGCTGGGCCCTGCCCCGGGGTCTCTGATTGAGGGAGCGTGGGGTAGGGACCAAGAACATTTCTATCATTTACCCAGGGGCTGCTGCTGCTGCTGGTCACTTTGAGAACCGCTGAATTACGTTTTTCCTTTTAAAAAAATCTTTATAAGTCTTTTTTTTTGTTTTTTTGTTTCAACAAACTTATGAGTATGTTCTTCATACCAGGAATAGTTTTGCTATGGATACAAAAATAGATTTCATTTTGATGGGTGAATAATATTTCATCACAATAGAACTTCACAACTTTGTCATTCTATTAATGGTCATTTAACTTGTTTTCATTTATTACTATTATTAAAGGATAAACCTGTGCCTGTCCGGGTGTGGCTCAGCGGTTGAGCATCGACCTAGGATCCAGGCGATCGGGGTTCGATTCCCGGTCAGGACACATGCCCGGGGTTGTGGGCTCGATCAATGACTCTCTCATCATTGATGTTTCTGTCTCTCTCTCTCCCTCTCCTTTCCTCTCTCTGAAATCAATAATGATATATTTTTAAAAAGATAAACCCGTGTGCATTATGAGTATTCTACATACAAATATTTATTTACGATAGATTCTCAAAACTGAAATTTGTAGAGATGAGCATTTTTTAGATTGTTGATGTCACCACATTGTTTTTTGAAAGGTTTTTGGTTTGTTTTACCAGTTTATATGCACCAGTTGTTTGTCACAGCACCCCACCCTTGGCACCCCACCCTGGGGACAATCATTTTGAAAGTGAGTGAAAACACATTTCATCTTGATTATTTTAAAAATTACTTTTAACAGCATTATTGAAATATACTTCAACTACAATACAATTGGTTTTCAGTATAATTCAAGATATGTGTGACCATCACCACAGTCAGAATTAGAACACCTTTATCACCTTAAAAAGAAATCTTATAACCTTTACCTACCACTCCCCTCCTCTAGAATCCCCCCACAGCCTAAGAAACCACCAGTCTACTTTCTACCTATAGATTTCCCTATTCTGGGCATTTCCTATCAATCATAATGTGT